TCAAGTGGGCAGTGGGAGAAAGGATACTGGATTTCACCACAGGGCATGAGAGAGGGTGGCTCACATCGAGGACATATAAAAGTACATTGTGTCCTCTGGGCTAGACCTGAGTCCTGTGTTAATTGCCCTGGACAGGAGCTGAACATCAGACAAATCCAGGAATTTTCCAGCCTGGTCAGTTCTCTAATACTATTTCTAATTCAAGCAATTTTTTTTTATTTTCTAATAGAAGCTAAAGAATGAACAGAGTAAGACTCTGTAACAAAAGTAAAATTCTATAACTGAAATACACAGGATATAAAACTCACAGGATTGACTTAATATGTATTTGAATCTCTCCCTTGTTCTCTCTTTCTCTTTCCATTTCACTCCACCCTCCCAAATACATGCAAACAATGTACTTCTCTAGCCCTGAGGGTTTGCTTTCCTCAACATTTTCTTCACTAGATTATTTCCCTTTATTTCCTTTAGAAAATAAACGTCAGACTGACTATTTCTAGCACCTTAATATTAAAACAATTTAATATGTTTCATAATCATAAAGACTAAGAGTTGGCAACTTCACAGGGAAGGAACCTTAAAACTACATATTTCTTTTCTCTCTTTTCAGAGTATTGATGCATTTCCCTCTGCCTGACTCCAGTCCCTTTTAGCCTGCTCAGAAGTCTCTCTAAGCTGCTGGCTGACCCAGCTGTGTCAGGAGCACACGCTGTACTGCACACTTTGTTGTTTCTTTCTTTTCCGTGCATCAAGGAAATAGTTGTTCTTCTTTGATCCTTCTCTCAGCTGCACGACTTTTAGTTCCATCTGTCCTGTCTGCCGTTTATGAAATAACATTTTTTTTCCCAGTTCTTGCCAAATAACTTGATTTCGATATTTTTCATTCTTTATGCTGAATTCCCAGGCATACATCTTTCATAACTGCAGGGTGTGTTTGGTTCTCTGCGTTGTAATTGAAGGCCTGGCTTGAGACCGAAGGGCAAAACTTCTGTTTTTGAGGGCAATTTATCTGTGTGAGTCCCATTAATGTGAATAGAAGGAAGGTGGCTAAATCCCAACACAGCTCACAAAAAATATATAACAGGCTCTCTATTCCTCAAAAATAATACACTGGATGTATTATTAATTGTATAGTGCAATTTACAGGGGCTGAAATACAGGGTTGTTTCATTTTGGAGGTTGCTTTATGTAGATTTAAAATCAAGAGGACATTTGCTGAAGATTGAAGGAAAAGAAGTCAACAGCAACACATCAAAAATATTAATGTATCTAGACAGTTTTAAAGTTCTTTTATACTTAGAGGGAAAAACTTCAATATTTGTACTGTTCAGGCTATTTGTCTGAATATTGACAAATTCTTGCTATGTGTGGAAATGGAATGCTGAAGATTACCAAGGACAAAAGCACTACTCTTTTTTTAATTTAAAAAGTCCAATGAGAATATTTTTCAAAGAATAAAAGCACTTTGCACTTTTCAGGTAGTCATTTCTTTATTGTCATTAATTATTGACTCATCTATTTGCCATTTACACATTGCCCTACCTTTCCTTCTTGTCTTTATTTGTATCTCTATTTTATGTCCTCAATTTTTCATTAACTTGCATCAATCTTTTCTTCTCTATTTTGCATTCGAAGAATCACATTCCTACTCTAGGTCATTAAGCTGTATCCTCCTTTCTTTATCCAATTGCTACATGAAGACACAATAGCAGGAGTGTAGTGACAACCAGGGGACCAACAGGTTGCAAAATGACCTTTAAGTCCCACAACATAGCACAATAAGGCCAAAATTACTTAAATTGGAAAGCAAAAGACACAGAACAGAGCAGAATTAATAAGTAATTCATGAGTACTATTATATGTCCTGAGGTTGTTTCACTATGCAAGTGGCATGCTTTCAAGTGCCATGAATAGCTACAGAATTCCTGTGTATCCAAATGCTTAATAATTACCTCCTATTAAATAATGATAAGGATTATGCTACATGGTCTTTGTAGTTGGCTGGAACGAATATATTTTGCCATTCATGCATGGCATATGGCTCCTGATGATTGTACTAGCACCTGAACTCTTCATAACATATTTTCTCTTTTAATTTTTAGTGATGCTAAGCAAAACCACTGAGTTGCTCATCACAAGTGATGACCAATGTTCCATCTGCAATGCAAATATATGGGAATAACTATGGAAAAAGAGCTTTTTCACAGCTTCATGAGCAAGTTAAGAAGCAACTGAACAACTGGAGACACACACAAACAGAAGGCATGGGCAGCAGCCAGGACAGCATCTCCAGGCACTCCATATGTGGACTTTCTGTTGCCTACAGCAAATAAACTTTTGAAGCCAGCAGTGGTAGGAAAGCTGACAGAATGAATTAAAAAGTGGCAGCAGGGAGCCAAATACTGCAGTAACAGAGGTAACAGGGAGCTCCCTGAACTCTGGGCAGGACAGGCAGTGAGAGGGTTGCTAGTGACAGAGAAAAGCAGCTGAGGACAGGATGAGTACACAAAAGGTTCCTTCCAGGTGAGGAAAGGTAGAAGTAGTGGACAACTGTAATTTCTACAACTGCAGTTTCCAGGAGGCTGTGGAGGAGCAGTTTCTCTTGAGAGATGACAGAAATACAAATTCCTGCATGGAAGTAGGTTAGAACAGCGAACAGCCATGAACATGTGGGGATGATTTCCTGGAAACATTCAGGAGCTGTCAAAGAAACTGCCAGATTTCTCTTTTCAGAACAGAAATCTCCAGAGAGTGAATGACAAGAGGACATGAGGCTCCAACTGGACAAATTGCAAGTGAGCCAAATTTGCCTAGAAATTCCTGAAACCCCATGTTTAGGTTACATTATTCATTTTCCAGTAAAGAAAAATGAATATTCTGAGTATGCTCCAGATTTTTATTAGAAAATGATATAAGAAGTGTCCACACATGACAGTCACAAGCCTTTATCAAAAATTCCAGAAGTGTACAATGAGCAAAACACCTTGTTGTGCACCAGAAATTGCTTCCTGCATGTAGTTTTTCTGTACGTCATTCTTAACACCACTGTCTATTTTCTCATGTTTTATTATTTACCCTGTGAAGTGCAAATTTCTTTTTCTGTTCTGAGAGTCTTGTCACACATATACAGACACTGTAAGATAAAGTGATAGCTTTCTACACAGTTCTATTATAAGAACTTGAACATCATCCCAAATTACCTGTCATCAGCTGTTCAAGTCTTCTTTCCATTACTGACAAAACAAATGAACAGCTGCTTGCTCCACAAACCTGTGCACTGGAAAAAAGACACACTACTAAAAAAATCTGTAAACAGCAAGCAAAAAAAATATAAATGTTCTAGACATAATACCAAGTGGGTTAAGGCAGCCTGCAATCCCTGATACCTAAAGAGAAGAGTCTCCTCCAAGATGTTATTTTATAAAATGTTCTTATTTAGAAAAGCATTTCAGCAGCAGCTACTGTATGTTAAGAACAACTTAATTCTTCATGGATATAAACCTGTGGGTTTTTTTTTTTTTGTGAGTACTGGAAAAAAGGTAAGAGTACACAGGTATCATGAAAATAATTTAATCATTAAATACCAGGCCATGAGTTTCTATTTATTTAGAACTGCTTAAAAATTTTACAAAGTTCATTAAAATTTGAAAAAATGCCATTGTAATATTTCACTATTTTTCCCTGCATAATGTCATAAAGGAAAAGGAAAATATGTTTTTCACTTTATTTTCAGGCAAAGATTGGTTTTATTAAGAAAGCTAAGGCTAAAAAGAGAGATAAAGAAAGTAGCAGGTAAATAAAAAATGCATAATAATAAAATGCATAACAAAATTAAGCATCATATATATATTTCAATTTAAAGAAATTAAATTGAAAATAAATAAAGCCCAACATTTTAGAGGCAAAACCAAATTTCAAGCAAATGGATGGCTATGGCAATGAAAATTCTGTGCAATTATTTTTCATTTTCCCTCTTTATCATTTCCCCTATTTTTCACCTTCTTTTTACCTTAGTTAATAATTTCTCCCATGCCTCTTCAGAACTTGAAGCAACACTGATAAATGTACAAAGCAACTTTTCTACCCTAGAAAAACAAGTTTTGAAATTCATACGTTTCAATGCCAGAATGAATAATTGCAAGCATTCAGCCTGTTGCTTGGTGCATCCCAGGCCACAGAATCTCACCGGGAATTTAACCAGGCTCATCTCTTTTCTTTGCATGGTAGCACATTGCTTAGATATGCACTCAAGGCATTCAAAAGCCTCTATATCCCAAGATAAGCTTTTCCAGCCACTAACTGTGACAGTCACACAGTTTCCTCCATAGAGCTTCCTCTGCTGTAAATAATGAGCACACTAATTTCTACATCTACACTTACTGTGCGCTAGTTTAAATTCACAACACTTAGATTTTGTGCTCTGGGGTTTTTGTTTTTATGTTTGTTTGTTTGTTTGTTTGCTTGTTTGTTTTGGGAGGGGAGGCAGTTGTTGTTGGGTTATGGGGGGGGTTTGGAAGATAAAAGAGCCTTCTAGGATCAAATACTTCTTCAGATATAATCATAGGTAGCCACCTCTTGACCCTTCTGGACAAACAAAATTGATTGCACTTCCTTAGTTTCACACTACAAACTATCCTTTCCAAACCCTGAAATGCTTCAATAAATCTTTCCCAAACTCCTTCCAGGCTGTCAATACCCTGTTTGCTCTGCTTTGGGTTGCTGCCATCTGATTCCAGTTTCATTCTCTTTCCCCACAGCTGACAGAGGGAGCTGACATCCTGCATTCTACCACCATGTTCCACCTCACACTGCAAAAGGCATTTCATCTGGGTCTGCAGGAGCACATGGCAAGGAGAGATTTCCTCTGCTGACTTCAAAAGGAATCTAGTTTCAACCCAGGAGCCTTATTCTTGGATAGCTTTAGTGAGGCAGATGAATCCCACTCAGTGGTCACCAGGGGACAATCCAGCTGTCTAGACACCAGAGTTCTGTGCGATTTCAGAGACCTCAGGCATCACACCTGGCTGCACCCATGGAAGCCTTGTCACATCTGCCAGCTGCACGCAATGCCTCGGAAAATATAAAACACCTAGGTACGTTTCATCGAGATAATCGCTTCATGAAAATGTTTTACAGACTCATCAAGACACAGGATCATTAAAAATAAAAATATTTTCCATAATGTTGCATTGATTGGCATCAGTTGTAATTTATTCTTAGTTCAGTTCATCCAAGAAATTTTTCTTAGGTAAGGTTTGGGCTAACTAGCAAATTGTTTTCAAGGCCACTTAAGTCACTATTTGTAAATGTTGGCAATGGCTATTTTGTCAAGCTTATGGAAGTTTGTCAAGATACAGATATTTACAGAACATTAATTTAGGCAACTCCACAGACAAGTAATTTTCTTGACAGTGAATTGTCTAATTCTGTTGATTTGAAAATATTTAGTGTTTCTGTTTAACACTCTTTCTCAGAAGTGAGAGAAAATAAAATCTTTCATTCTTCTTTTAGAAAATGGATGTATTTACTTAATTCCACATTTTCTTTACCAGGGTTAACAATTTTACCATCCATAGTTCTACAAAACTGCAGGCATTTTGTTCCTGTTTAAAGAACTTCTTGTTATCTTTGCCCTACTACCCATAGATTTTCAACCGACTGCTTTAGTTTTCTTTATCAGTTCTCTCCATTATCTAATACAGAATTTATTCATTGCTATCAGGCTCCATACTTTTCCCATTATTTTTTCATTGTGGACTTCACCTCCCTCGCAGCTGGATTGGTTTTTAACTGAAGAAAATACTTTTTGTCAGTGCAAAACTCCATTTCTTCAGGTATCTAATACAATTTCCTCACCTATCAGCCCTACTTTTTCTGCACAGTCTTGTGTTAGTAGTTTTCTTTTTTGTGTGTCCACTTTATAATTAAGGAATAATTAATCTGGAACTAAGGTGTGTCAATTAATTTGCTCTGTTCTAAACAGCCCATGAACACTGCAGTAACCCAAAAATTCTCAAATTTTGGAATTTTTTTTTTATTCTAAATATTCTAATTAGAATTTTGATGCTAAATTGACATGAAAAGCTTTTGGCTTTGGGGACATTTTAAAGGTATTATAACAAGATGTAGAAAGGATATTTTGAGATTCTTCAGTGATGAATGGGATCCATCTTACCTGTCTCTTAGACACCTATTTGTGGTACTCTAGTGCTGTTTATTGTTCCCTGACAGTTCCAGAACAGCCAAACGACTTCTCCTAGCTGCCAAACTTGCAGATGACCAAAGTGACATAAGAAGAATCCTTCTTGCCTTGAGATGTCTCTAAATTATCTAATTTTCAAAGATTCCCAATTACTTTCTCATCCATTTCTTCCCCAGACATCAGGACACGGTCAAGTGAAATGGATTGGTGATGAGATGGACTCTGGACTAATCAGTGAACTAATACAGAACACGAACACAGCATGGTTGGTTGGTCATGATCATAAACCTAGACATGTAAAGCATTGGTGGACAACTAAAATAAGGTGTCTGAGAGATTCAGAATTACAATCTGAACCTCTCAAGATTCCAGATGACACAAATTCTGAGGAACTATTAAATAAGCGATAGATTTTAAGAATACTGAAAATGGACCCATGGGAACATGTGTTTTTACAGCCTGAGCCACAGAATCTCATACAGAAATGAAGGAGATTTTCACTTATTGAAAACAGAAGCTGTGAGGACAAAGCCCTAAACTCAGCTGAAATCAAGCAGTAGAGAAGCATGCAAACACATTCACTTTGCATCACACGGCTGCTACCACATCACCAAATCACTGTCTCAAAAGGATGACAGTGATGACAAAATCATAGAGGTATAAAATCACATTACTGTGTTTCAAACTTCATCAGATATTAATGCTTCACATTTACCTAAATTTACTCTATCTCAGTCAACAACTGTGTAATTCTATAAAATCCAGAGGTATTTGAGGAGCCATCAAATTGGGCAGGTGAAAATTACAATACACATAACCTTTTCTTGTTCTAATTTTGAAAATTCAGGGATCTTTGATTTGTTTCTCTATTAAAGTATTTTGTCCAGGAGTATAGTTAGAAAAGGCTAAGGCAAAGATAATCAGGTTCATTTTGTTTTATTTTCAAATGTTGAGCAAGCCTCAGTTTAGGCTATAGCCTTAACCTCAGAAGAGCTACATTGCAGTTTATGATAGTTGTGTTAAAACAGTGGTAGTGCTGATCAAGAAGAGTTGTTAAATGCATCATATAGAACAGCCTGGAAAACTTTAGAGTATTTAAAAAGCACATGAAAAAAAGTATGTATACAAATTTAATCAATAAAAGATTCATATCCTTGTTTTCAATTTTCCTTAAGGCACTAAAAAAAGTTTAAAAGGATCATGTTATTTAATGGTGTGAGCTAGCAAGACATAATTGTTATTTCCTCTTACTATGAAATTTAAAAGTGAGTTAATGTATAATAAATTAGCAACATTTTTTGTTCTTTTTTTTTCTGATTATATGTATTTCTGGTTTTGGTGGCAGTATTTGCAGCCTCCTTGTGGATCACAGCCTCACTATGCTAATGAAATGGCAGAACAGAAGACAGTTCCCAGTTATTAAAAAGAGCTCATCATCACTGCCCTTTGGGCCAGAGAAGTAAAGGGACTACAGAAAAGGTAATGAAGCTCTGGAAACAAAGCCTACTGAAAGCATGGCCATAAATGCCACAGGGCAGGGATCTTTTAAAAACAGTGTCACAATTGTACACAGTGAGCCTTTCAGTTGACTTTGTTTGAAAATGTGGTCCCTGTATTGATAATCAATATGTTCCATTGTGACCAAGAAGACATAAATGAATGCTTTCAGTTTGGATTGGATTAAAGGAAGCTGCGGGAGTGAGTGGGCTGTGTGGCAAATGCTGCTTCTTTTCTAATTGAGCCACTTGCTTTTGAAAGAGTCAAAGATGTCCCTAGTGGACATAACATGGGGTGTGCTAGAAGGATAAGGTTAAAAGAAAGGAGGCAAGAGGAGTTCAAGGCACTGTTTATTACTTTGAACATTTCTGAATAAAGGGAGGGTTAGCTTTTCAGTCAGGAGAATGCAGCAGTCTCACTCCTGACTGTACTGATTTGTAAGAGTGTCTTTCCTTTTAATCTTATTCTTTTTTTCTTTAATCTGTATGTTTTCTAAACCTTATCTTTTCTCTGACCCTACCTTTTGAGTTAATCCCTAGTTTCCTATGCTTCTGTGCCTGTCTAGGTCTATTCAGCTTTAAAAAGGCACTCAGCATTTCCCGTGGCACCACAGGGATCAGGAATGAGCAGCGTCCATCCCAAGACCCTTGTCTCTTCAAAAGCTCTGTCTGCTATACCCACAACCAAAAGGGTCATCACTGACACATGTTTAGTCCTTTGTATTTCATAAAAATTGAAATGAGGGATGGAGACACACAAAGAGATGAAAGAGGAGAAAGAGAAGAAAGGGAAAGAGGGAAAGGGATGAAGGAGAGAGAAGGAAGAAAGCAAGGAAGCAAGGAAAGAAGGGGAAAATGAAATTTCTCACAAGTTAAATGAGAAATTCAATTCAAACATAAGAACAAGTGAACAGAAGTATTGAAAAAAGTGGATACAAGCAAACATTGGAGGTTAAGGCTTCCTGGGCACTGGATGTGAGAGTTAGTGCTTATGTTTTTCAGGCATCTGCTAAATACCCAAGATGTATACCTAGATTTTCATTTTGAAAATAAATGAGGGAAATAGGCAAAAGTTTCATGCAATGTCACAATGATCTGAGAGATGAATGACAGACAAGATAAACAATGTCTGTGCAAACCAGAATCAGACACATTTATATCAAGACTGGAACTGTGCTAGGATTTTGTCCAGTAAATAAGAGAATAGAGTAGGCATATCTTGCTACTAAAGTAGAGTTCTTTCATAAATAAATTAAGGGCAGGTTTCCTCCCTCCTTAAGTACTTTTCTTAAGTTTTAAAAAGAAATACTTAGCAGTTCAAAATAGCAGAGTGGATCCTCAGGGTTACAAATAGTTTTAACTTTTCTTCAGGGCTACAATCTTCTCAATAAGTGCTTTCAAAGAACGAAACAGGCTTCATTATTTCCCTAAAAATGCAACTATTAAATGACAATATGCTCCAAAGCATAGCCACTTTTTCCTATAGTAGATTCACAGGGAAGCCAAAAGGTTTGGATTCCAGGCCTTTAACACACAGTTGTAAAATTTATTTTCTCTGCTTTTATGTGAAAGGACTTGTCGTGTCTTTGATACCACAATGAAAGACTGACAGCAAAATATGGAAGAACATGAATCAGAAACATGAATTTAATAGGAAAGAAGAATTTTTCTCAGCTTATTGCCATTTAATTTGTACCATAAGGGGTCATTTTTACAAGGACACAAGTGCAAATCATCAGATTGAATACCATATAAAAACATTGTTTTCCACAATCTTTTGAACTTTTAAAATTTATTTTCTTGTGGAGAAAAAAGAGAGAATTCCTTCCCTGGTTCTGTTCCAAAAATCTGTGGAACATTCATATTAGTGGCAAAGGGCATAACCTTTCCTCACATTCTGTGAATTGGACTACTGAGCCAAAATGGGCACAGAGGTTCACCATACTAACGAATTTTCAGTAATTTCGAAGGCAAAGGGGGCATTTGTAAATATGCTGGCAGAACATAACCTTTCCACAAAGACACCCATCAGTGAAATAGAGCACAGATCCAGAACATGTCAAGGAGATGAGCTGTGGAGCAAATAATGCCATCTGTACTGCTCGTGATGCTCTTGGACCAAAGTATCAGAAAGTTGTAAATGAGTGCCATGTTTATGTTCCCAGAATAGAGCCATGATTGATAATAAGCTGCTGATATCAATGAGACTTTGTAATTTGGTAAAAACAAAATAATTCTGGATGAGAAAATTAATGTGTTTTCAGAAAATTAATAGTAGTCTGCAGAATCACTCAAGCTATGACCTTCCATTATGCAAGGTACCACCTGTGCAAGAGAAAAGAAATATTTACAAATAAGTTCAGTAGATTCCTCCATTTAGAAAATTGTTGTAGTCACCATTTGCAGATGAACATTTTTGAGGAAATCGGTCATTATGGCCCAATCCTAATCTCACCAGTGACATCTGACTGATATCTTTCAGATACTGGGGCTGCCTGATCCCTAAAAGTGTTCAAGGCCAGGTTGGATGGGGCTCTGAGTAACCTGCTCTAGAGGAAGGTGTCCCTGTCCGTGGCAGGGGGTTTGGACCTGGATGCTGTATAAGGCCTCTTTCAACCCAAGCCACTCCATGATGATTCTATGATGATGATTCCAGTTTCTGAGAAAAAACAGTTCCACATTTTCAAAAGGAAGAAACACCAGAACTCAAGTCATGTCCATTTTACAACTTTTTCTGGATTAAGGGTATGTAAGATTAATGGGTATGACTGTGAGTACACTCATTGAATTCATAGGGAAAAAGCTAATAAAGCCTGTGCCATTTTCCATGCCATGGCCACTGAGGGCAATTTTGAATTTCTGTGGTGATATAATTTGAATCATGACAATTAGATAGACAATTACTAGCTACAAAAATTATAACTTATTTGGCAGATACTTAATACTTCAGTGTTTTCATTTCAAAGTACTTTTTTTTGGCCTCCATAAAGGCATTAAGATAAACTTAATGCCAACATGTTAACATTGTCATAGTCACCTCCTACTTACATTATTAGGAATCCTTTTCTTAGTCTGAAAGAGAAACAGGGTAGCCCTGAAGTCCCATCTATTATTACTGTGAAAAATGAACAAAATTAATGCTTGTAGTCATTACTTCAATATTAAATTAATCAATAATTTCTGATCATCTCAAAATTGAGTCTCTTTCCATTTTTTTCCAACATCATAAAGTTCCTTTGCACTGACTCTTCTGGGGATCAATCAATTATTTGTAAGTTAATGTTTTCCACTATCCAATTTTAATGTTTTCCATCCAATTTTAGGTGATATTTTTTTTCTTAAAGATCCCTACTTCTATTATTGAGAAGAGTTGGAAAGGAAAAGTCAAAGAAAATTGTAAGGGGAGAAATAAGACAAGCCATTTATTAAATAGTTTGGAATTTTTCAAAGTTAAAGTGCAAATCTATAAATTTATTCATTGCCACTAAACAATATTACATGAGACATATTTTAGTCTTTATGCGGTTGATTTTATTCTGATAAGATTGATTATTTTACTGTCATAATGTGCTTCTCCAAATTATCTTTCTCCATCTATTTCTCCATATTCGTCTCTCCTTAAACTTCACCATCTTAGAAATGGTGAGAAAAGCTAAGGATTCACAGGAAAGTAACAATTAGTAAATACAGATATTTCTGTAAATAAATTTCCCCACACATATATCTGTATATCACATATACACCGTATGAGGTAGCTTTTGAATAAACATTCATATTACAGAAACAGAAATTACCTGTTAGACATGATAAGACAAAGAGGATATTAATAGAGCTGGGATAGAGAAATATAAGGAATTTAGCAAAACTTTTGCATATAACATCTCCAGTTGTAGTATGGACTAAATATTTTGTCTAAAAAATGTTTCATGCTTTGCAGAGCCAATAGATAGCTTCTGACTGCAAAAGACTGACCTCAACAGGAGGGTAGCTTTTAGATACAAAACCTAATCCTGATTACAAATTTACCTCTGGAGAAGAATTTTTTGGTAAGAGGCATTAAAACCAAACAACTCTTATTTCAAAGATATGTTCATGTTTCCAGTGTTATTTTGTCTAATGAAGATTCCAGTTATATTTTTCTGGTTAGTTTGAAGAATGCACTATTGAACCTTGTTCACCAAACAGACATTGACTGCCTAATCTTCTCTTTGATAAACTAAATAATTTACTCCTTCCTTATAGTATGCTTTCCAGTTCACTAGTCATTCTCATAGCTCTTCTCTAAATCTTCTCCCATTTTGTAACACTCTTCACTAAATATCAGAAATTATCCTGATACAGATGGGTCAGTGCAAAACCCAACAATACAGTAATTTAATCACTCTATAACTTCTCATACCCTCTTGTGGATTCATGTAGTGGTCTCATTAACCTTTTTGCCACAGCGTTATCTTTAGCAGCTCATTTTCATCAGATTAACTCCCATGACCTCTAAGTCCTTTCCACACTCCCTTCTCCCATGAACATATTTCCAGTCCTTTATGTCTAACTGATTTTTTTTTTCCTGTCCTCTGAATATGTAATGGGCAATACTGGGAATTAATTTTCCTGTATCACAGTTCCAAGCAATCAAAGTGCCTACATTTTCATAACCTATTTTCCTCATTATTTATATCTTCCCCTAGATTTTTTTTTCAATCAAAAGCTTCAGCAGTACAATTCTGTATTTTCCAAATTGTGATAATGCATGTGTAGTGAAGAATGGATCTTAGTGAGTCTTCCTAAAAATTTCCCAAGAAGATGCCTGCTTCCTAATAATTCCCATTTATAACTTAGGGTGGGTTGATTTTTGCTGGTGACAGGTGCACACCAAGCCGTTCTCTCACACCACATCCTCATGGTTTGGGATAAAGACGGTTTAGTGAAATAAAGCAAAACCTGAGCATAGATGCCTTTATTTTTTTAAAATTAATATTTATTTTCTCCCTCCCATAAGCAAGTGATGCTCAGCTGCTTCCTGGGAAGCAGGGATTTGGTACCAATATTCTTCAGAGGAGAAAAGACTGAATAACGAATGCTCTCCACCTTCTTTATTGCCAAGCATGACATCATATGGGACAAAATGCCCCTTTGGGTCAGCCTGCCCCAGCTGTGTCCCCCCCAGCCTCTCAGCCAGCCCCAGCCTGTCAGCCTTCAGGGGCAGAGAGAGCAGAGACAGCCTGGAGGCTGCGCCAGCACAGCTCAGCACTGCCCAAAACTCTGGGGTGTCACCAACACCTTTGCAGCTACCAAAACACAGCCCAGCACTCTGAGGGGCTGCCGTGGGCAAAGGTAACTCCACCCCAGAAAGATTCAGTGCACAACTGCATTCTGAAACTCACTTTTTCACGTACTTATTAATCCACTGAATTTTCATCACTCTTCCTAGGTATTGAAATATTGCTCTCTACCAAATCAAATGCCCTGGAGATGTCTAACTATATTAAACAGATTCTTCAATCAAATTTTTAATTTCATAAAAATGTAGCAAGCTATATTAACAAATTTTATTAGCATATACTGATGCTGATTGGCAACAATTAAAGTCACCTCTTTTAACTCTTCATTAATTTGAACTGTATCAACCATTTCATTCTTTTTCCCAATATCAATGGCAAACAGGCTCACAACTATCCTCTGTAACTTTCCCAAATATTGATGCATTCATTCTTTTTCCAAATCTCTTTGAGGTTATTTCCAGGACTAGTGGAAAACAAGCAAAAATTCTCCAGAGAGGGATGCAAACATCACTTTCAAAACTCTTCAGCGGGAACAGTTAAACTTGGCTAAATAAAATGTATGTAATATATGTCTGGTAGGCACCAACTTTCCTGTTAAAAACTAAAATATATTGGTGGAGAATAATAT